TGAAAGACGACAGCTTTCAGCACTTTGCTTACTGCATATTCTCCAGAGAACATTTTGTCCTTTACCTGACAACCAGTTTAAACCGTCAAATAGGTAAACACATAATCATTTTAAACTGGTTGGTTGAACAGAATTACACTTGTGGTTATTTTTAATCAAACACTTTGTTTGTCCCTACCAGTCTTACAGCTCGGGTTAACGATAACAATCACAAAGAGAACGGTTTATTAGTGCGTCTTTTTTTCACAATGGCAAAAAGTATAGTAAAATTTTCAACTTTCACCTTGGGAAACGCTGCTCTCTGGCCTTCGATAAGGAATAGCACGACAACGACTGTCTTATGCAACAGAGCCTTTGGATGAACAGTGATGCCTAATTTGAACGGCATCTACTAGGCTGCTCATTCTCCATACAGAAATAAACGATACATTAAAAACTCACGACGAATTTATGCCAACAAGTTCTTGCCACTGTTTCGTAACTGTGTAAATTCAGTCTTCCATATTATAGATATTGAATGAGTTGAAGCCTATGTAAAACTGGTCTCTACTACTACCTGTTGTTGTTGACTCTGACCTCTGTGATGGGCGTTGACCACTCATTATTCTCAGTTTTGAATGCTTCTTGTTTCCAGATTCTTTTTGTCTGTTTCTCCACTCTATGATCTTTCACAATGTTCATTCTACACGACGCTACTCATCTAAGCCAGTATTAGCAGCGACTTTTATCAGAAACACTTGAGTAATGTTTGGCAGAAAGTTAACATATTTGTTTTAAACTAACCCCGCCATGGCCGGTCCCAAGCCCGGATGAGAAAGGAGGAGGGTTGGAGACCGTAACAAGTCACCGTAAAATTCGGCCACCTGCCACTCATGGTATTGACGCCGTCGAAAATTATACCGGCTCGGTCGACGCCCGGGTAACCAAGGCCCCCGCAGGCTGTTGAGGGACTGAGGCAGCCTGCGAAAAGTCAGCGATCAGAACCTGCTCATTGCCCTCTGCCAGCCGGAGGCGTGGCAGTACAATGACGGCTGACGAAGACCGACGCAACGACGACGAAGATACC